ACCCCACCCCCCACCCCCCAAAGGTGTACCGCGACGAGGCGACCCCGGTGGAGGACTTTTTCAGGGAGAGGGGCGTCCTCCTGGATTTCGAAATTACGGGGGGCATCCCAGAGACGCTGCCCCGCCTGCTGGCTGCCCTCGCGCCGCACGCGGCGCGGGGCGGCTCTGCCGCCGCAGCCGAGGCAGAGCGAGAGCCGCGCGCGGCGGCGGAGGGCGGGCGGTGAAGGGGCGCCGCGTGCGGAGCGCGCGCACACGTGCCGTGGTTTGGCTGAGCCTTCGGGTGGCGCCAGCCGCCGCCGTGGATGCTTGACTGACCAACGCCGTGTTTATGAGTTTCGCGGTCCCATCGGTCTCGCTGCGGCGAGTGTGTGTAGTTTCTGAGGAGGGGTGGGCTGCCGCGAGATTGTGCGGCAGGGTTGCTGCAGGCGGCTGATGGCAGCAGGTTCGCTGTGCCCGCACCCACCACGCTTGGAGGGGACCAGCCGTGCTTCTGAGTGCAGCACCATTCAGCCAATTACTTGAATTCATCGCATGTGCGCAAGCCATGCGTCGTTGTTGCACATTTGCTTCTGCGCGTGTTGCAGCCGCCGCCGAACAAAGGCGGCGGCGCCCAACAGTGCGGGGGGGTCTGCGCTTGGAGATGAGAGTAATCATATGCCTTACTGAGCCCAGGGGTACCCGTGGCTGCAGCTCGCTGCCCACCAGGGCCACCCCAGTGCTGCCAACCGCCGCGGCGGCGACAAGTGATCGGACACCTTCGCTGCTGTCGATGCGGCAGGCATCGCCAGGCAGCGCCAGCTGGGCGAGCCGCCAGAACGCGCCCAAGGAAAGAAAGGAAGCGGCGTGCGTGCTGCGGCGCGCCTGGATGCCGCCTGGTTGCGCTCCACCTGACCCCCTGCCCCCCCGGATCAGACACTGTAAAGCCTAAAAAGCCCAGGCACGACATGGTGCCCGGAGGTGACAACACCAATAAAGGTACAGGGAGTTGCGCAGAAATCATCTCGCGTTTGGGGGGCGGCGTGCTCGACGCACCCCTGCTGTCCGTTGAGCGCCGGAGGGGTGTGGTGCGATGCGGCTCGCAGATACCACCCCGCTTAATGCCTGATGGAAACGCTGCGATTGGACGCTGCGATTGGACAAAAGCAGAGCAAGAGGAATCAAGGCGTTTGCAGTATGGCAGGTGCGGGTGTCCGTTTGATGCAACCGCGCCTGGCCCAGAAGCGTAATTTGGGGCATGCGGGGCATGTTTTTGGGGGCGGTGCTGATGTTCCCTGCTGCTGCCGCCGCTGCTGGCTGTGCTGCTGCTGCAGCTGCTGCTGCCGCTGGTAATGGTGGTGGTGATGGTGCTGCAGCTGCTATGGTGCTGCTGCTTCATGACTGTTGATGACCGGGATGGCCCCGCAACGAGCTCCCCGCCTCGGCCGCCGCGCTCTCAATCTGCCGCACTGTCGGCGGCGCCGCGCGCCGCTGGGGCCCTGGCCCGCGGCTCGGCCCGCCGCCCGAGGCTCCTGCCGGGCGCCGGAGCCGCCTGGCCGCTCGCCACATCAGCATGCCTAGCTGATGTGGCTCGTGAGCTGCCCCAAAACAGACACCCAGCTGGCTGGCACCGTGCTGCTGTTTTTCAGGCGCTCCAGCAGCCCGCCGCGCGCGGCCGCCGCGGCCTCCTGCGGGGCGAGAGGCGGGGGGAGGGGTGCTGATGGGCGCCGGCAGGCGACGCGCGGCTCAGCGGGCGCGTCGTGCTGCGGGCGTGCATCGATCAAGCCGACAGAAAAACTCCTCTGTACAATTCAGAGTCGGCAGCCGCTCCCGCTGAATACCTTGGGCATACACTTGGTCAACAACATGCTGAGTCGCTCAAACGGCTGAGGTCGGGCGGCGCAGGCCAAGATCATTCAAGATCAGCAAATTGAGATCACGCACCGCGGCCTTGATCTCGTCGATCGCCGCCGACAGCTCCTCGACAACGGTTTTGAATGACGGCCGCATCTCCGGGTCGAAGTCGCAGCAGGCATGGCAGAGAACCAGCAGCGAGGCCGGCAGGGAGGCGGGCAGCACGGGCTGCAGCTGCTCGTCGGCTACCGCCATGGCGATCTGGGGGCGTTGACGGTGAGGGCGCATCGGGCGCACATCGGGCGGCTGTACAAGGTGCTTCACATACTGGGCTAGTCAGACAGAAGCAGGCCGTGACCCCGTTTGAAACAGCAGGATTAGAGCGAAGACAACACGCCGGCTGGGGCAGCTGCTCCCGGCCCCATGTGATGGCCCCAGGGCTGTCAAAGCAAGCGGACGCTCCCGGCGGCCGGGGCGGCGGCGTCGGGCGCTTGAGGGCTGTCCTCGCCTGCACGGGTGTCATGTACGTGTGCGCGTAGGGTATCTGGCAGGTGATGGCCTCGGCCAGCGTCACGCCAAAGGACCAGACGTCCGCCTTGACGTCGTAGACCTCGTGCCTGGGGCGCGAAGTTCACAGTCGCGGTGGCGCGGCCGCGCGGGTGACGCGGCGACGTCAGCCAGTTAGGTGCGCATGACGCCCTGGCGGCACGGCGAAAAGAACCGCAACAAACACATGCGCCTGGGAACCCAGCCATGGAAAGGCCCCGCTCTACCCCGCGTCGCGACCGTGCCCCCCATCAAATCATCTCGGCGCCACCCCCCCCCTCCCACGGTATCATCCATTATCTCCATGAACCCCCCACATGATCACCCGACCCCCCACCCCACCGTATCATCTCGGGGGCCATATACAGGTATGTCCCCGTCTCCCCTGTCAGCGTCGCCGCCGACGCCGGCCGCAGCCGCGCGAGCCCAAAGTCCCCCAGCCGCGCGCGCCCCGCGCCGTCGATGAACACGTTGGAGGGCTTCACGTCCCGGTGCAGCACCGGCGGCGCGCACGCCTCGAGCGCGGCGAGCGCGCCGCAGACC